GGGCGGAGCCGGTGGGAAAGATCGCCAGGGTCCTCGATACAGCCTCTTGATCTTGCAAAAAATTGGGACCAAAAAGATCCTAACTTCATCAAAAATCATAGGGTATTCCCCCAAAAAAGATGGATTCATTTCAAATCATAAGTTATGTCCATGAATTAATGCATCATCAAATAAATATATCCTAATTTCATTCAATGTCCATCATTTCAACATGTGTCTCTCCATCCCTGGCCTTGCTCTGCTGTACAGGTTGCAGAGGTTACATCCGAATTCACTGCCGCATGGCTCAAATTCCAAACTGCGCATGGAAATCGGGGGAAGCTGCGTGGCCAAGGAAGCCATCCACTTGCCTTAGAACCATGAGCCGAATGGGCAAGGTGCTCCACCAATGGAAGACGGCTACCCTATTTCCATTGAGCACTAAATTAACACATGCACAATTTATATCTATATCTATAGCTATAGCTATATATCTATATCTATCTATCTATCTCTATCTATTTATCTATCTTATCTTATCTGTCTTATCTTATCTAATTATCTATCTATCTATCCATCCATCCATCTATCCATCCATCCATCCATCTATCTGTCTGTGTATAAATATATATATATATATATCTCTCTCTCTCTGTGGGTAAGTTATAATGTTTCACAAAATAATGCCATTTGTGGCTGATTCCCCTTACTAGACATGATTCCAGGGTTCGGTCTGAGGTCATATGATGTATGCAAAGGCTGGGCAGCTGAGTGCCCAGCCAAAGAAGCATGGTGTCCAATGATGTCCAACAAAAATGTGCAAAACCCACCGCCTATTGATGTTCTAGGAGGCTTTTCCCCCTTCCAGAGGCAAGAGCCGGGCTCAACGGCTCAAGGCAAGCTACATCTGGAACCCCCCCCAAAAAAAAGTGCAGGAAATGCTTATCTGGCTTATCTTTTTTCATATGCTTCAGCCTCCCAACTGCCGCCAAGGGGCATTAGCGCGCTGGTGGCTGTCAGTGAGATGGTGAGCAGGATGGGTGACATCAAATACCTGGCCAAACATGGCCAAACCCTTCGGGGGCAACCACTTTGCATCGCCGAGAGGCTTGATTCGTTGTATCATGTTGTATCTTTCGTCATGGTTCAACCATGTTCAACCGGAAATCAGTTCAATACCTGTTCCTCTTGAGCTGTTGAAGCACATATGTGAAATTCATACAGTAGCTAAATTTTACATATCTTGCATCACTAACGGCATTTGGAATGGATCTGCATTGCAATAGGGGCAGCCAAATGTGCCTTTTTATTTTGGAACATCTGAAACTCCCTTCCAGTCATGCAGCAAGGGATGCCCTGAAAGGTTTCCAAAATCTCGCAAGGCACTGGATAAAAATCAGCGTCGTCATAGCAGCCTGAAGCTCGAAGGTCACTTGCCCACAAAAATCAAGGAAAACAACCACCATGCCGTGGGCAGGGCTTCGAGTCTTCAACTGTGCTTGATAATCTTACTCCGAACTACTGATTCGTTGAAAAGAAAAAGCTGTGCCTCTTGGCAGTTTCTAGGAACTCACGAGAGGTCTGAACATCTCTGAGCCTGCACCACTTGAATCTCACTTAATGCTGAAATGAGTGATGATTCATGGCAACAGAATGTAGCACAATAACATACATACCATTACAACATACCGTTACATACTAATCATTACATTCCAACACATTAGCATTACATACTGTTACATACCGTTATACATACCACTACATTACATACATACATTGCATACATACATTACACACATACATTACACACATACATTACATACATACATTACAGTACATTACATTACATTGCATTACATTACATGACAGTGCAGTGCATTGCATTGCATTACATTGCACTACATACATGCACATATATTTGTCAACATTTGTGCATGAGTATGCATACATATGTACAGTACATATATGCGCACATATATATATGTGTGTGTACATGTGAATATATATATGTGTGTGTGTGTATGTGTGTGTGCGTGTACATATGTATGTATATATTCACATATGTATATGTTTTTAACTGTATATATGCATGCTTTCAACGGTCCAGACCCTATGATCTTATGTCAGCTACGTCAAGGACATGGCCAGACCCGCCGTCGCCGACCTTGTCCTGGCCACCCACCTCCACCTGCTCGTCTTGTTGCCAGGATGGTTAAACCATACACCATTGCATTGTAGGGATACTCATGCTTAGGTCTATATATTTATGTATCGTCAAATATATATAGATAGATAGATAGATAGATAGATAGATACATAGATAGATAGATAGATAGATAGACAGATAGATAGATAGATAGATACATAGATAGATAGATAGATAGATAGATAGACAGATAGATAGATAGATAGATAGAGAGATAGAGAGATAGATAGATAGATAGATTAGATAGATAGAGATAGATATAGATATAGATATAGATACCGATACCGTATCTATATACATCTCACGAAAAAATCCGTTGAAAAAAAAAAACAGCACGTGAACTTAGAATAGTTTGGACGGCTGCCAGTCCAAAGTGCAGTGACCCTGGACCACAATGGACCGCCTGCACCATGATGTTGTTGGCCGTGGGGGTCAAGGACACCACAATGGCCACCAACCACTTCCCCGTTTGCACGGGTCCCGGCATCAGCCGGGACACCTGCGCTTAGCGCTGGACAGCCAAATGGTTCCCCATGGCTCATGATGTTTGATGATTTTGAACCATCATCTGAGTTCACCAAATGCGGCATCCATCTGCGAAAATCTCCGGCCAAGGTTGGATTGGATGGAACCAGCTGCTGTGGGAATCAGTGGTGTGTGGGACAACCGCAAACCATCTTCTAGGATGTGATTCCGAAATCCAAGCTGCGCAGAAGACGAAGAATGCGACGACCGCAGGTTGCAGCAACATCTTGGTCAGAGTCAAACCAATGGCCATACCTTGGCTGCTGCATTTGTGGCATGACAAATTGCACCAACTGATCCACCCCGTGCACAATGCATGATTTGTGCGCCTTGGTCGGCCCGAAAGAATATCTGGAAAATATCATGACTAAAATCATCCAGATCATTCTGGAAAAACGTTTCTTTGTAGTGTGGTTCCTATCTCACAAATCGATGCCCGCTACATCCCCTTATCATATCCCAGTCCACACCCCATCGTTGTCTACATTTGCATACCGGTGCGGCAATTGTGATTAAGATAAAGAACTTAGATCTCCTACACCGCAACTGTCAAACGGAGGTTTCCCAAGTCATGTGGGTACCCCAAATCATCCATGTCAGGAGACTATGACTCAGTATTGAAAACCATGGTGATTTGGGAATCCACCCACCCCAAAATGTGGACAACCCAATCATCATTTATCAATGTTTATCCCCACAGGCCCCATATTGCTCCAAAACCCTATACTGTAGATGATGGTTTAGTTCCCTATCGATGGTGAAGTTCCCACATCATGGTTAAAACCCCTATAGATTATGGTTAAAAACCCTGTTGTTAACCCTATGATGCTTCACCTGCCGCGTCAACGTTTTTAAGCCGCGCTGCCCACGGGCAGTGCTCTGAAATCTGCTCCCTTGGACAGGTTGGAGCCCAACATCAGCAGGTTCACCGGCACAGCCGCCTGACCTGACAGGGCATCTTGAAGTGAATATGACTAGTGAAACATGGGGAAACATGGGGAAACATGGGGAAACATGGTGAAACAGGATGTAAATATGTGTTTTTTTTAAAAAAAAAAGTTAACTCTCTCTCTATATGTATGTATATATATATATATCGTAATTATATCGTTAAGTTCATATGTAAAGTCTAGAGTATATCACTTGTTCTATAGCATGAATTATGTATATGTGTGTGTGTATGTGTGCGTGTGCGCATGTCAATCCGTGCTATTTTATCTATATCTTTGCAATTTTGTCCCTTCACTGACTGCAATATGTGTGTTAATCCCTTCCTCCTTTTACTAAACATACCCCAAATGCCAAAAACTAGGGTCCGCATGGGTCCGCGTTTAATTTTGGGAAATTTCAGACTGGCCAATTTGATTTCAATTGATCCCCTTCCGAAAACAAATTAAAAATAAAGGTTCCATTTCAGGGTTTCACCCCCTAATAATAAAAACTAGTCAATCGCGGGGTGTTTTTTATTAGGATCCGTCTTTTAAGATCGAGAAAAAACAAACATATTTTATATTAAGATGTTTAATTTAAGTAGGGGAAAGCTTGGCAATATTTCAATTTTGATTTTAAAAGGAAATCTAATCGATATTGAAATAGAAAATTTTATTTTTTTTATATTAGGGTTTTTAGTTTAATATTAGGGGGAAGCTCCGCACCCTAATACTAAATACCCCCTAATACTAAAAACTCCTCCAGGTGTTCATTATTTGGGGATGGACCGTTTAGTAACAGGGGGAATGGATAAATCGGTAATGTCCACATATAATTACACAGATACATGGACACATATTGCCTTTGGTCCATTCTGTCATAAGTTTCCTTTCAAGCTCCCAATTTGACACTGTTTTTTGGGGGGAATGTGTGATCCAAAACGACTCCGAAACTATGTTCCCCATCCGACAAATCCAACAAAAAAACGTGTTTCCGTGAAGCGGGTTTTCTGATACCATGTTTCAAACATTGCCTGCTAGCAATCAAATCATCCATTTGCATAGGATCTAATCTACCCTCTTTCAAATTAACATAGACCCTGCCAAATAGGGGGATGGAAGGTCAGTTTCCACTCAAAATGATTTTCAGGGCCTATGTTAATTTACATAATTTACTGGAGCGTACCATGATTTACACTGGGGCCTTCTTGACATGACATGGCCGGCTGCTCTCCACCCGGCCTAAGGTGCGGATAGCGTTGTAAGCCCAGTCCAGGGCGCGCTTATCTGGGAGGGTCCAGTCCTCACCGAGCTGACATGAAATGGGGAAAAAAGCAGGTCAACAGCTATGGTCTGCTATGGTATGTTGTTCTTTTCAATGGGGTTCCATGCGGACATGTATACATATATATATATATATAACATATCATTTATATATATATACTCATCGTAGCGGGAGGGGGGGTTCCAGTTCGTCGCCAGCCTCTAAGCCTCTAAGCCTCTAATGTCTGGAGGCAGCCTGTAAGCCTCTAAGCCTCTAAGCCTCTAAGCCTCTAAGCCTCTAATGTCTGGAGGCAGCCTGTACGCCTCTAAGCCTCTAAGCCTCTAAGCCTCTAATGTCTGGAGGCAGCCTGTAAGCCTCTAAGCCTCTAAGCCTCTAATGTCCGGAGGCAGCCTGTAAGCCTCTAAGTCTCTAAACGCCTCTAAACGCCTCTAAGCCTCTAAACGCCTCTAAGCCTCTAAACGCCTCTAAGCCTCTAAACGCCTCTAAGCCTCTAAGCCTCTAAACGTCTCTAAGCCTCTAAACGCCTCTAAGCCTCTAAGCCTCTAAACGCCTCTAAGCCTCTAAGCCTCTAAACGCCTCTAAGCCTCTAAACGCCTCTAAACGCCTCTAAGCCTCTAAACGCCCCTAAGCCTCTAAACGTCTCTAAACGTCTCTAAACGCCTCTAAGCCTCTAAACGCCTCTAAGCCTCTAAACGCCTCTAAGCCTCTAAACGCCTCTAAACGCCTCTAAGCCTCTAAGCCTCTAAGCCTCTAAACGCCTCTAAGCCTCTAAACGCCTCTAAGCCTCTAAGCCTCTAAACGCCTCTAAGCCTCTAAACGCCTCTAAGCCTCTAAGCCTCTAAACGCCCGTAAGCCTCTAAACGCCTCTAAGCCTCTAAACGCCCCTAAGCCTCTAAACGTCTCTAAACGCCTCTAAGCCTCTAAACGCCTCTAAGCCTCTAAACGCCTCTAAGCCTCTAAGCCTCTAAACGCCTCTAAGCCTCTAAACGCCTCTAAGCCTCTAAACGCCTCTAAGCCTCTAAACGCCTCTAAACGCCTCTAAACGCCTCTAAGTCTCTAAGCCTCTAAGCCTCTAAACGCTTCTAAGCTTCTTGACACCTCTAAGGCTCTAAACGCCTCTAAGCCTCCAAACGCCTCGAAGCCACTAAACGCCTCGAAGCCTCTAAACGCCTCTAAGCCTCTAAACGCTTCTAAGCTTCTTGACACCTCTCAGCCTCTTGTTGCCTGTCAGCTTCGAAACGTCTCTAAGACATGCCATCTTGAACAAAACAAACAATTTGAAATATCTTAAACTTCTCTTTCGCGACCTTTCGCGAAGCAAATTACTTTCGCGATCTTTCGCGACCCAGCATTTCTGTTTCGCGAAAGTGATGTAGTATAACTCCCTTACATAAACAATACATTGAGGTTTTTTTCGTGGCTCAAATGATGATGATGATGATGATGATGTTTATCTGATAGCCTTGTTGGTAGATATTCCCTCACAGATGTGACAAGACTCTTAGCTTACTAGTACCCAATGCTGTTTTCAACATGAAATCTCTATAGAATTGTTGACACCAACGTCCACGATAAAATCGCAAACGTTGACGTTGGACAGGTACCCCTAAAAAAATCCAAGGGGGATCGTTAGAGTCTATTCTCTTCTGCTAGGCTAGCGGCCTGTCCTGTTCCGTTCGGATCCATCCTTTCCGTTACAAGAGTCTTCCGCTAAGAGTCTTCCGTTCGGGTCTATCCTCTTCCGTTGAAGCCTACCTTCTTCCGTCAGAGTCTGTCCTCTTCCGTCAGAGCCTGTCCTCTTTCGTTCAAGCCCTGTCTTGTTTCGTTCGACTCCTCACATTCGTTTGCAACCTCTCTCTTCCGTTAGACTCCTCCTGGCTTTCAATCGAAGTCCTTCTTTCGTTTCAATGTTTCTCTCAGAGTATGGCCCGCTAAGGTTTGCCAAGCCTCAAAGCTGCAAAGCCTCTTTGGCGCTTCACGCCTCAAAGCTTCAAAGCCTCAAAGCTGCAAAGCCTCTTTGGCGCCTCACGCCTCAAAGCCTCAAAGCTCCAAAGCCTCTCTGGCGCCTCACGTCTCAAAGCCTCAAAGCCTCAAAGCTGCAAAGCCTCTTTGGCGCCTCACGCTTCAAAGCCTCAAAGCCTCAAAGCCTGAACGCTTGGATGCTTTGGCGCTTTGGCGCTTTGGCGCTTGGCGCTTTGGCGCTTTGGCGCTTTGGCGCTTTGGCGCTTTGGCGCTTTGGCGCTTTGGCGCTTGGCGCTCTTGATGCTTTGGTGCCTCTTGGCCCTTTGGCGCTTTGCGGCTCTTTGACGCTTTGGCGCTTTGGCGCTTTGGCGCTTTGGCGCTTGGCGCTCTTGATGCTTTGGTGCCTCTTGGCCCTTTGGCGCTTTGCGGCTCTTTGACGCTTTGGCGCTTCTTGGCGCTTTGAGACTTCGCGGCTCTGTGACGCTTTGGCACTTTGCGGCTCTTTGAGACATGCCATCTTGGAAAAAAAATGATTTTGTAGATTTTACTTTTTTTCAAGCACCGATTGAAACATAGGTATAAAAGCTGTTTCGGAGAAAAAACAAAGGGCCAGATTGTTTGTATTTGAGGGCCAGCGCTCACCTGCAGCCAGCGAACTTACGACTACCTGTTTAGTAATTTTTGTGGGTTGTTTAATGATGGTTTACCTTAGTAGGTGATTAACAAGCGTGGTTTGTAAGTCGCCGTTTCGCGGGTCATAACATCTTTGAGTGTGTTATAACTTATAACTTTGCTGATTGAGCATGTCATCATTGATGAAAAGGGTATATTCTAACTGGTGGAGGTTTGAATTCCATCGTCATACCTATAGCAGATCTTATAAACCAGGCCCTGCGGAGTTTTGAAGCCGACCATCAATAGATTGGTTGAAGGAAAAATCTCCATCTTGACCAGAGTCTTAATCTTGCTTTTGCTGTTGCGGCTTTTGTTTTTGTAAGGCAAGGACGAGAACTTGCAGCGTATCATCCAACATGTCTGAAGGTTGGGGACAAGACCTGACAGCGTAGCACCCAAGATGATTGAAAGTTAAGGACAGGTCTTACAGCGTGTTATCCAAGATGGCTGAAAGTTAAGGACAAGATCTTACACCGTACAATCCATAATGATTGAAAGTTAAGGACAAGGCCTTTCAGCATAGCATCAAACATGTTTGAAAGTTAAGGACAGAATCTTGCACCGTAACATCCAAGATGCTGGAAAGTTAAGGAGAGGATCTTGCAAAGTAGCATCAAGCATGTTTAGAACTTAAGGACAAGACCTGACACCGTAGCATCAAAGGTGTTTGAAGATTAAGGGCAAGGTCTTACAGCGTGGCATCCCAGATTCAAGATGTTTGTAATTCAAGAACAAGGTCTTAGGGCATAGCTTCCAAGATGTTCAAAGTTAAGGACAAGCTCTGCGAGCGTAGCGTCCAAGATGATTGAATGTCAAGGGCACGATCTTACACCGTAGCACCCAAGATGATTGAAAGTTAAGGACAAAGTCTTACTCCATAGCAACCAAAATCATACACGATGCTTGAGAGTTCAGGACAAGATCTTCTTGGGCAGCATCCAGATCTTCCAAGAACTTGTTATTATTTATCTTGTTCTCGTTTTCGTTCGTGTTCTTGTTGTTAATGTTGTTATCGCTGTTCTTGCTCTTGTTGTTTAACTATTGTGTTTTGTTATTCTTATTTTTGTTCTTGTTGTTGCTGCTGCTGTTGTTGTTGCTGATGTTGTGGTTCTTGTTTCTAATCTTGTGGTTATGGTTCTTTCTCTTGTTCTGGTTCTTGTTCTTGTTCGTCAAGGACAAGAACTTACAGCGTATCATCCAACATGTTTGAGGGTTAGGGACAAGACAAACAGAATCTTGGAGCGTAGCATCCGACATGTTTGAAGGTTAAGGACAAGATCTTGCTTCGTAGCAACAAAGATTTGCAAGTCAAGGACAAAATCTTACATGGTAGCATCCCAGATGATTGCAAGATCAGGCTGCGATCTGACAGCGTAGCATCAAGGATGATCGAAAGTTAAGGACAAGCTCTGACTCTGTAGCGCCCAAGATGTTTGAAAGCACAAGATCTTACGCCGAAGCACCAATGATGTTTGTAATTTATGGACAAGATCTTACATGCTTGCATCCAAGATGTTTGAAGGCTAAGGACAACAGCTTACAGCGTACCATCCAACACCCCCTTACAGCGTATCATCCAACATGTTTGCAAGTCAAGGACAAGGCTTACACAGTAGCATTCAAGAGGATTGAAAGTTCAGGGCACGATCTTACACCGTAGCATCAAAGGTGATTGAAAATTAAGGGTAAGATCTTACAGCGAAGCATCCAAGATGTTTGTAATTCATGGACAAGATTTTAGAGCATATCATCCAAGATGTTCAAAGTTAAGGACAAGCGCTTCGAGCGCAGCGTCCAAGATGATTGAATGTCAAGGGCACGATCTTACACCGTAACACTCAAGATGATTGAATGTAAAGGATAAAGTCTTACTCCATAGCAACCAAAATCATACAAGATGATTGAAAGTTCAGTACAAGATCTTCTTGGGTAGCATCCAGATCTTCCAAGAACTTGCTATTATTTCTCTTGTTCTGGTTTTCGTTTTTGTTCTTGTTATTAAAGTTGTTATAGTTGTTTGTGCTCTTGTTTTTTATTAGCACTTCTTATTCTTGTTATTCTGATTGTTGTTGTTGTTGTTGTTGTTGCTGTTGTTGTTGTTGTTGTTGTTCTTGTCCTTGTTCTTGTTATTGTTCTTGTTCTTGTTTTTGTTTTTGTTTTTGTTCCTGTTATTGCTATTGTTTTTGCTCTTGTTTTTGTTCTTGTTGTTGTTGTTGCTGTTGTTGTTGTTGTTGTTGGTTGTGGTTGTGGTTGTGGTTGTGGTTGTGGTTGTGGCTGTGGTTGTTGTTGTGGTTGTGGTTGTGGTTGTTGTGGTTGTGGTTGTGGTTGTTGTTGTGGTTGTGGTTGTTGTTGTGGTTGTGGTTGTGGTTGTGGTTGCTGTT